GGGGGGGTGGGGAGGTGGGATACATGCAACTATTCATTTTCAATTATCCTGTTAAATTAATGCCTTGTAGTTAACCTCCTCCCATTCTCATTCTCATTCCCATTTCCGACTTCCTGCGCCAGTCGCCCAGGCCCCCGCCATCACCTAGCGACGGCTCCTTTGTCAGGGGCATGATTCAGCCAGCTATCTGGCTTTCGCATACCCTTACGCCAAGGTATATTGAAAGATTGACCATCTTTGGTCAAGCCTTGTGATAATTGACTACATCGGGGAGCCTGCCATAGACACACAATCAATTCTGTAGAAGGGTATACAAAATTTCACCGTATCCAAAGCCCGAATCCTTTCTTTCTTGCGTTTTTTCCCTTCTGTCCCTCTGTGTGTTTCTTTTGTTGATGGCGACAATTTCAACGGCAGACGGCGGTTTGGCTCTAAAATATTGGTTATTAGCATAGAGCCCAAGGGGATGGAATGTGTAGGGGTATAAGGATAAGGGTGAGCTACAGAGGGTATGGGGCGATGCTGGGATGAAAGCTGACAAAGCAGCCGATGCTTTTTGTTGCCTTCATTTTGGGGTCAGGGACTTGTTTTGTCAGCTTTTGACTTAGCAAACTGCCAGACACACAGACACCCAGCCAAAGCACTATGGTCCCAATGACCACTTTTCTTGGCCATAAGCTAATTTTTAAAAATTAGAACCAAGACGTGGTTTTTGGCGCTCTGTACTAGAAAAAGAGTGACCATCAAAGTTGCGTACCAGAAATTTACATAGATGGCGCCACCTTCGCAAAATCAGCTGTGAAACCCAGCGGTCATTATTTCGCACCATGTGCAGTGAAAAAGTACCAGTTTTATTGCTGTTTTAAAGTTTTATTGCTGTTTTAAAGGTCCCATAAATTGAAAAATACGATTAACTGATCCAATTTTCTTAATGCATTATATTCAGTAGAGTTTTTACTACGTGTTTTGTAATGTGAACGGTATCTAGTAGTTGGCGATGTCTTCGTAATTGTTTGTTAAAGTGAGGTCTTCAATATGTATCAGTTCGTAGTAAAAATTAATTTTTGAAAACGTTTTTTTAATAGAGTGCCACCTAGTCCCACCTTGAAACCTATTGTGTGTCGTAGAGCAATAAATGATTGTTAAAATGTATATAGTCAGAAATGCCACATTTGACCACAACTCCTACAATTTGCATTTATTGATCATAACCTTAAATGAGAAATGTCAATGTTTTCTTGCCGTTTGGAACACAATGTAGAAGAAAATTGTGAAGTAGAGTGCCATATTGCATTGCATTTAAGCCACAATATTAGTCACTAGCTATTTTGGAGGGCTAGAGTTTGATATCCAGTGTAATATTGTTTTATAATGAAAACTCCTATGGAGAATGCTTCGTGGGACAAAAAATTCGATTATCTTGGATTTTTAAGCAGTTTTAATTCGTGATAAGACTTTTTTTATAGAATCTTGCATTGCTAAACATATTCACATCCTTTTTTGCTTCTAACATTTTGAGAAAAAAATAATAAAAACCGAATAAAGAATGCTTTGTGGGACAAAAAATTCGATTATCTTGTATTTTTAAGCTGTTTTATAATGACACCACGACTTTTTTTATAGAATCTTCCACTGCTAAACATATTCCCATCCTTATGGGAAACATTTTGAGAAAAAAAATAAAAACAGATTTTTCCTTAAAAAAAGGCGGTCAAATAAACGCCCATTTTCTCAAAAAACATGCCCCTTGCTATTCTTAACTAATATCAAAAAATTAAATCAAAATATCTGTTTTCGTTCGCGAGTTATTAATTTAGGACAACAAAAGTGGTCATTGAGACCATAGTGCAAAGATTGGGTGTGAGGCTGTGGCTGGGTATAGATAGAACCCGCTTATACATCTATTTATCCGGTACCCACCATTTTTTATATTGTGCCCACACTGTCCTCCTCCTTTACATGATACTGCCTGCCTGCTGCTGCATCTTTTGTATTGTGAATCATAGCCGAACGGACGCCACGACATGGCCAATGGGGCTGACAATGCACAAGGATATGAACAGAGCGGTAGTAAGATAAGTGTTCCAGCCCCAAGTTCCATGCCGCATGTCCCACCCTCAGCCAGTGGCAAAAGCCCATACCCATGTACAGCCTTCATCGCTGTCGTTGGTTGTCGTCATCGCCCTCTCATCAGAGCATCGTCATTAGAGCCACGCCACTGACAGTTTTGCCTTTTGTTCGATGCCCACAAATTCCATTCCGTTCGGTTCGGTACGGTTCGGTACGGTTCGGCTCTCTACTGTTCTCCTCTCCTCTATTCTGTTCTGTTCCGTTCTATTCTATTTAGTTCGGCGAGAGTTCATTTAGCGTTAATCGAAGTGTATTCACACTAGCCAGGCCAGCCCAGCCAAACCCAGCCCCATCTCCTGCATCATTCAACAGCTCTGGCCCGTGCATCATCTGTGCCCCAACTCTGATTGCATTAACTTGATGGCTGGCTGCATTGGCTTGTCATTAATTAGTTTTCAATCCGTTCCAGCTCCCAGGATACAAAAAAAGGAAATGGAACAAAAAATAATCGTACTAAAACTGATGTCAGGCATGCCTCTGACTTGATAGTTAATGACTTAATGGGGGTTACCAGAGCAAAGCAGCAGCTGGGGGAGCTGGTAGCTGGAAACGCCATTGTATGACGGGCTAAATGTCCTGTGTTCCTAATCCCTATAGAAATGATCGATTTTCAATGTTCTAATCGCAATTGTTTGATCAACAAAATGCGGAGAAGTTCATTACCCATTCATTTCCGTTGAGTTTGCAGCAGACTTATTAAAGTGGATCTCTGCCTGCTTGGAAACAGCACTAACTCCTCTGTTGCTGTTAGAGTATCCATCATAAAAGATTTCAAGAGCTAATTCACTAGAAACATTGCGAACACGCAGCCTCAAGTGTTGGGCCAATCTGTTGAGTAATATCTTGGCACTTGACAATAGGTCGTGGGAGGGGGCGTAATCAGGGCATTCATTCAGGCCATCACTTTGGGCTCTGTTTTGGGTTATGTCCCGTTGCTGCATAATCTCCGTTGTTGTGGTTACAAAAACCGTTTTGTGGCAGTGATTGCCAATCGACCAATCTGAATCGGTTCAGTACACGCTTTGGGCTGTCGTCATGTCGTGATGTGGCATTAATTGACCGCAAGAATTGACGACAACAGCAGCAATGAACTTGAATTGTGTGTGTCCTATCAGAGCCGTAATTGGTGCTTTTCTCCTTTATCCACTTTTGGCTACGGTTTCAGCGCCTATCCCCCTTTTCTTCCTGCAATCCACTATGGAAATCTGACATAAGCTACGACTGTGAGTTACCCGCTACTTGGATTTATTTCGTGTGAATATGCATGTACATATATGTACATGTTGACTTAAATTGTTCAAAAAGTTCCCTGTCCATTAACAAATAGATGGAAAGCAATTTGAAGGTTATCGGGAGTCCTTTATAGAAGGCTGGCACGCACTTTCTTTTATTTCAGCCCTGTTCCCTCCTGTAAGTAATCTACGAGCATCGTGTGCAAATACGGATGTTGGTTAGGTAGGTCGCCAATTGGTCCATTTGTTGCCATTGGGGCTTGAAAGTGCTGCGCCTTCTACGGCTCTATTCCTGCCCTGAGTGTGATTGTGTGAGTGTGTGTGATTGTGTGTGTTTGTGTTTGTGTGTGCGCGTGCGAAAACCGGATGTTGGCATATGGCTCTTCGACGTTGTTGTGAGTGAAAGGAAACAAAAAGAAAAAAACGAGAAGGGACGTGTGAGACGCTTCTAACGCGTCACAA